GTATCCTTGTTGTGTTCTACTGTATTTTCATACTTATCACTATGTTTTCTATGGGCCTTTACCAATTACTGTAATTGTGTTTGTGCCAATAAATATTTGTATTTGTATTTGTATTTATAAATATGCCCTCATATATTCGCTATCTGAAGATTTGGTGGTTGTGTGTAATTTTGGCATCCCATTGGGCAAGATCAACTTTTCCCTATCTATGCATATTTACCTCGTTTACCACTGGCAACACAATATTGACAACAATGATCATCATGTACTCCTTCCCCAAGTTGTCGTAAAACATGATTTCAATCTGAATTTTACAAGTCATTAAAAAGAGACAAAGGACTCAGCAAATGCTTGTGGTATAACCAATACCGAACTAATTTTAAATTACTTAAATCGTCATTTAAAAATTGATTATTCTGCGTTTCCCGGAAAATATCATTTCGAGAATTGCTCTGACCGAAACTCTTTGAACAAAAATAGACGATAAATCGTAGACCCTAGACATTCTTAATACCATTAACTCTAAGTGTTTCCATACAAAGAACCTACAAAATCTTGAAGAAAAACTTTGCATTTGCACATCCTTCCTCTTTCCTCCAGCTTCTCCCGCGTTTTTCATAGGCCTTTGGTTAACCCGTACCCTGACTGACTCTTGTCTAAACGTCAAAAAGTCAGTCTTGTCAGAGATCAACTGTTGCCGTAAAATTCTGATTGAAAATCCTGATGGCTGGTGTAAGATAAGGTTATTGGATTTTTTTGAATTTAATTCATCAAGACGAAATAAAAGTTCAAGAGAAACAAATTAAATTTGTGGCAAAGAAATCGGTTATTTCGTATATATATGACTTTTTAAAAAATCAGTTAAATGAATTATTAATGATTTTTCTGTTTGAGTAAAATTGTAAAATACATCAAAGAATATTCCGCTAAAGACTTTTTGATTGCAGTAAAACGCACGAAGTTGCGGGAAGATGCTGAATATTTAAAATTGTATTTACCCATAAACATGGTATAATCTGGAGAGAAAAAGCATGTCAAGTTCACAGATTTTTTTTTATTTGGTTCCACGATTTATATATTTCAAGGCTTCGAAAATTTATTCCATTACCTAAACCAGCCACGGTTCATTGCAAATTTTGATAGTACCAAAAATACTTGAAAAACAATATACATGAAAAACAATTGTGTTCGTGACTCGTAAAACAATTTAAATATGAATAGTACATGTTTTCAAGAGGATTGGTCTTTGAGCGGAGGGGGAAAGGGGGGGGGGGGGTAAAATCGTTCCGTTTTGCAACATTCTATAAACATGACAAACGAAATATGCCCATGCAGTGTTTCTATTAAATAATTGTACCCTCATGTACTATAGTCTGTATTATAGAAGAGGGTCCTAAAACATTTAACTATACGACTAAAAACATGTAGAAGTAGATATGACACATGAGAATTATAGATGTCTGTAGACCAGAACCAGATTATGATACTGACCAGTGACAAATATTACCCCCCCCCTTCATTTTTAGGATCACTAGCAATAAGAACCGAACCATATAAAACTGAGAAATTATTTCGTTGTACTAAGTAATAAAGGGCAGCAGCATTTCCAATACTTATTCAATACATATTGTTACTCATTCGTATCTTGTATATTTGATTCCACTGCAGAGCCTTATATCAACGATGGTATAACCTGTCTGGATAGCTACTGTATACATGTACCTCCAGCTGCACGACGCATTTGATATATAGATTTTTTATCGACTAAATGTTATTTTTCATTTAGTTTCCTATTTTAGCAATAAAGACTTATTAATTATAAAGTGAATTGATCATTTCTTTTATTTCTTTCTAAAACTCTGTAACATATTATGGGGTAGTTATTTCACAAAATTCTATTGATCGAATTAAGCGTTGAACTGAGCTATCGACTGCGGGAAAAAATCACATTTTTAAGCAACTGAAATTGAACAAAGTTGATAAACAAAAAATTGAAAGCCCGATAGAAGAATAAGTTATTTTGTTCCAGGTGGTATATAAACAATGCAAAATTTATACCTTTTTTAAATGATACCAGTAAACTTCCAACTTTAATTCAATATTAATTAATTTTTTGATATGCAACTCGGTCGTTATAATACATAAATGCATGGATAGGACACAGGCTTATTCCATTATCATATGTAGTCCTCTCTGAGAAAACAATTAAACCGCGTTATTCTCATATAATATTCAAATTATCGCAAAGGTCTTCCGAGCTGACCACAGAATATTGATAAGACACTCGTCATATTTCCAAGATGTTTTTCAAAACTCATTTTTGACATGAAATCGTAAAAATGCCAAGAAATGAAAGTTTACTCCATTTCTATAAAGTTCTATAAACCAACATACACGTATATTCTAATTGCTTAAAATTCGCTTATAAAATATCGAGCTTCATAGGGGTAACTTTTAAAAAAGCGCTCTTACCTGCTTCTGGGAAAAATGTTTGCACTCCCAAGATTGTTCACCTCGCTTGAAAAAGACAAAGGTATATCGAAGATTCACGGCAGGGAACACATCTGTCTTTTTCCCCCTGTCTGTTAATCTTAATCCCTAGCAGGTTCCCCCTCCCGAAGCTAAATCTCGTCAATACTTCAAAAAGAGAACCTCTGTGGTGCTTACAGCCTCCGTTGATTTATCGACGGTATATTTTACCTATATAAATAGATGCGGTGATTGACGCTGTTTCTTTGTAACGATAAAGTTTTTAAAACACACTTAATGGTAGCAAATTAGCACCTGTGGTTTACAGAGGTCTATATAATATTCCTCGATCTTTCCATTCATTCAATCTTTGTATCTATCGTATTCTAATTAAGTGATCTAATGTATATATTTTGAACTGAGATTCAAGCCGTGACAACACCTAAGTTTTGTTAGTATATGCATAATTAAACGCATTCCATGCCATATGTTAGATTAATCTGTGGACAAATTTTGCAAACTAACATGTATAGGATTTCATCTTGAAAAGATGAAGGAAAGAAATCCTTTTGACTCTAGGGAAAAATAAACATTTACTGAATGTATGTCAAATTGAACACAACTACATAAATAATTATCTGAACATTCCAAAGTATTCTCTCATTCGAGTTACTCGGTCAAGCAACACGCTATTCAGATTTTTGATTACTCTAGTAAATTGAAATTGTAGCTAACTGCTCTCTCTCTCTCTCTCTCTCTCTCTCTATAATTCTAAATCTCCAAGATAAAGAAAGCAATAATTCTTCCTCGATATATTTACTGTGATTTGTCGGAAATACATTCGTCACCTTATGATTTGAGATTTGTAAATTAATCTTCAGCAATTTTGCAAAATCAAAATCTATAACATAATTCCTTTTAGTCTAATATTTATTTAAAGTAGAGTTATCTCCCTTATCAGAGTATCAATGGACCTTAAATGTTTTTCATTTGTTTTTATAGTCGTGACTAGTGTCGTGCATGAAACTGTATGAAGCTTGATTTTTCTTGTAACATTAACGTTTTCCCCCTATATACATGTATTAAATAGACATTCATAATCATAAGTTATTTGTTGTAATTACTATTTTTTTTATAAATGTTTTTTAAAGTGGATTTATATTATGTATTCATAAACAAACATACGATGTTGCTATTCAGTTGTTAGTGAACAATTTTTGCACGCGCATAAAATGTGCTTATTCTATTGTCGACTTTGATATAATGCACATAAAAGAAATTGCATTTGATTACATGATGTCGAGGATCGTAGAGCAAATAGAACTGATGTCATCTAAGAGCACCTGGAGATGATATAATGCATAGGACACCAATATCTAAATATACATCATATCTATAGAAATCACTAGAATGTAAATTCAGGCGCGGATTCAGGCGGGACGTTCTCGGTGAACTTTTTTTTTGGTTCGAGCCCTGAGGGGTCGACAAAATGCTTTTGCCTGAGAACACAGTCAATAAATGTTTTGTTTTACCTTTTAGTTTTTATTTTGACGTATCATGATGTAGATTTCGTTTACCCTTACTGCGGTGCTGTCGAACTCCCAACGGATATAGCTGACCCCGCCCACCCTGAGCGGTCCAACATCTCATAGACAGGTCCAACACCTCACTCTGGGGCCGACTCGGTAAACCATTGGGAATAATTTTTGTATAAATTTATTTAGGATACAATTTTAAAGGTGTAACAGACACATTTTATAAAGAAGAACCACATAAAGATTATTCAACAAAACAAAACAGTCAAAAACATCATTAACAATGTACGTACCTCATCCCCATTTTCCACTCCAATTTCCAAGTATAATACTATTTGTTTAAAAATGATAATTTGTTAAAAAAGACAATTTTTTATATCAATTAAATTTTAATAACAAATTGTATATTCTATTAATATATAAAAAACGAATTATACTAACACTATGCTTTATATTTTCCTCATGGATAAACCTTTCCGGATTGTTTTTATCTTTACGTTAACATCTAATTTTAGCTTCCACGCGTCGTTTCCTATATGAAATTCGGCATATTTTGTTGATTTCGAAATTAGTCGTTGTAGGATATTGAATTATTTATTGTCATATGCATACTGTTTTCTAAATTAACTTTAGCCTTTTATCTTTGAAGCTGGGATATTAATTATTTTGCAACAGAATGGAAATTCCTTAAAAACTGCTAAAAGACTTTAAGAGGTATAATAATTTCTTCATCTTTTGACTTGTCCATAGGCGCTCCCCATGACATTTTATTTCGTAAATGAACAAAAAGTATATATAGATACCTCTCTATAACTATACTCACATGTATATGGAAGAATGCCCAGTATAGCAGATTGAAGTTTGTATGAATTAGAACACTCTAAGGGCTTCAAAGTTGAATTATATATATTTTAACCTTTCAATTATGACGAGTTCCGGTTAGGCTTCCCAATTTATGCCAATAAATTCCTAGTATAACTAAAATAATAATAAAAAAATATTTTTCAAGATGTTGCATATCTGCTAACCCACAATGTCAGCCCGATACATGAGACTGCCCACATCAGACCAGGTGGATGATGTCCGACTAGATTTCTCTTCCACCTTTAACTACTCCAGCGCGGAAAACCAGTTTGCTCCAATCAACCCTAACAAATACAGATCAGCATTCAGCTTTTCAGAATCCCGCTATGTGGATGATGTTCAGTTTACAAGAGGTAAAGGTACATGTATATAAATGGATGTTTAATAGAAAATGAGTCTTTACAATATTTTATAAATTGTTCATTGAATAGTACATGTACTAAACTGACCAGATTTACCAACTGTTACCTTTTTTGGATTAATATTTTTTTTAAGAGCATAGTATTTTCAAAGTATGTTGCCACATTTAATAATTTAAAGCAGCTAGCCTTTGATTGGTCGAGTGTGTCACTTGTTTCTGACTGCCTGTTGTATCCTACTCCTGATCCTAACCTTTCCTGTCAGTGGCTGGTTCTATTTATAATAACATGTACGAGGGTTGTTCGAAAAATTCGTGGACGATGTCAATCTTCGTTATATTATTCTCTAGAAATTTAAAATAAGCATAAAATAATGTGTAAAAATATTTGTTTTGCTGATGTGTGAAGTCTTATTCCATTCGATTTAACAGAAATAAATTTACTTCATTTTAAAATCAACATGTTTTGTACCCGCGGAGCACCCTTAACGGTCATGTAACGTCAAAACATAGCGTCACGATCTTCTAAAAAATACTACTGTACAGCAGGAAATTAACTCGCGGAGTTAATATTCGCTATATTCGCGGAAAAAGAAATTCCGCGAATTCAACATATAGTGAATAATTCTTGAAAAGATTTATGAGGGTAAACTGAAATTTTATTATCATCTGTGATTAGATGTAGACTGTCATTATAATTATGAGAGTGTATACAAACACGTAGTTGTTGGTGTTTTGTAAAGCTTATTAATTGTTAAATTAATTTCTATAGCTAACGATTACGGTAGTTTACCATCTAGTAGACGTGCAATGTAATTATTTAATTAAACAAGCTTGTATAATTTCACCCGTGTGTATCACTCAGTCATTACCTTTAATCAAGGCACTTGCAAAGTAAACAGGGTAATTATGAAGACAATTAATTAATTTCAATTATATGATTAAAAGTTCAACAATTTGACTACTATATATTTTTTTATTTGGCCTCGGAAAAAAAAAAATATTCTGAATGCGTAACATTATTTTGACTTATATTGACACAATATATAGACTTGCCTCTCCTGTCTGATATGCGTGATATACAAGAACAGACTTTCGTAAGATAGAGACTGAAAATAAAAGTTCACACAATATATACCTAAAGAAAAATGCTTGCAAGTACTATTTAAAAAATGTATGTTTTTTTCCTTTCCGCGAATTCAAACGACCGCAATTTGCTGAAAATTAAACAAATCGCGATCTTTTCCGACCGCGATTTTAACCTGCTGTACAGTATTCCTATACATTTCACACAGTTTAATCGAATGCCCACTCATTAAATTCTTTTTTTGATACCTGACATTTATTTTTTTAAGAATTGCTCTCGTTATATAATTTCCTTTGTTAAGGTTTTAATTTCTTTTTGTCCCCTGCTTGAAACAGTGGGGGATATTAATTTGGGTTTGTCCGTCCGTCCGTCCGTCTGTCCGTCCGTCCGTCTTTCTGTCTGTCTGTAACGCTTTCGTTTCCACACGATATCTCGAGAACCCTTTGAGCTTTTGCAATGAAATTTAGCATAGCAACGCCCTATGCACTAAAGAAGACCCCTATTGATTTTGAGGTCAAAAGGTCAAAGGTCAAGGTCATAAATAAGCAAATTCTGTCTGTTAAAACACTCGTTTCCACACGATATCTCTGGAACCATTTGAGCTATTGCAATGAAATTTTACATAACAACTCCCTGTGGCCTAATGAAGACCCCTATTGATTTTGAGGTCAAAAGGTCAAAGTTCAAGGTCGTAAATTTATACTTTCTGTCTGTGTGTAACACTATCATTTCCGGGCAATAGTTCAAGAAGATTTTGAGCTTATGCAATGTAATTTTATACCAAAACTCCCTAGGACGTCTCTCGCCCCTCTCAAAGTGCCCCGCCCCGTTTGTTTTATTAGTATTTATAGTATTACTTGTCGCTATTTTTAGCGCAGGGACATGAGGAGAGTTATTGCGTATAAAACAGGTTCTCAGCGGACATTATGTTCTTATTACATCTATTAGAACTGTTTAATAAAGGCTAAATAAATCAAACACCATGGATTGTGTAAAATTTTGAGAATACCGAACATGAAAACATGAATATATACATGTATGTGACTTCAGTTCTGCATATACTTCGCACCTTGTAAAGCGACACCGTGGTGTAGTGGTTAAGTCTCTCGCTTCATATGTGCGAGATTCCGGGATCGATTCTCGGTCGATCCTTTCTTTTTTTTTTTTTAAATACCTTTTTTTTTTTTACTAAATGATAGTATTCAGCATGTGAAATGAAAAATTTATGAGGTTATAAAATCATCATTACAGTGTGATAAATATTCCATATAAAAAAATCTTCTATACACATAATAAAGAAAAAGCAATCAAATCTTTATATGCATATTGACATACATGTATTTTATTTGCTTCAGTATACAGTGGACCTTCAGATATCCGGACGCCAGATATCCAGATGCTTCAGTATCCGGACGATTTTTCATCGGAACGAATTTTTAAAATGTTATTCTGTCTTGTTTAACTGGTGATTCAGATATCCGGATGCTTCACATATCCGGACAAATTGACTGGGAACCAAAGCGTCCGGATAAATGAGGGTCCACTGTACATGAATACATTTAATAATTCTACAAATTCAGTCAGGGGGAGCCGACTTTTTCCCTAAACGGGAATTCTCTGAATATTAGCTTGTATTACTTAACTCTGCTTTCACAGGATACGAAACTCTGAAGCGCCTATTTTTTTCCTTGACGTTCCAACTTTTTAAAGTTTTTGTTAAGATTTTTACAGTTAAACTGTAGCTTCACAGATTTTCCTAGTCCGATCAGGGTCTCTGTCACTCAAATACTGCCTGTACTATTTGTACATGCATGCACAACTCGCTTAAGACATATTTTCTTGACTCCGCAAACAATTTAAGATTTTTTTTTCAGGGTTTTTCCTGAGTAAAACATAAATTTGCACCGTTATCTGCTGTTCTGTGACGTTCTAAAACGTCATCGTTTTTGTCGTTTTCAATAAGGACTACCTATCTTCTCAAGTTGATTTCTTTTCAACAATGCAACATATAAAGCCATAATTTGGTATACTAATCGATGTAACAATTCTTAATTTGAATTTCTAGGTTGTTTTTCGTTTTTGCTCCATTTACAGAGAATATGCTTACAGGTACATGTATTATATAATGTATTGTCTTTAACTTACTAAATTTTGACTTGCTCCGCGATTCGATTTTTTCATTTTTAAAATCTGGATAAGTTTTGAATAAATCGTAATATTTTGGAAAAATTTGATACAAATCGTTTAGATTTATTGTAAAAATATTTCTACCAAATTTGGAGAACGTATGACGTCAATTAAAGAAGATATGACAGTTGTCCACGAACTTTTCGAACAACCCTCGTATTACTTGTGTTTACAGTGAAGCAGCCATTGATTGGTCGAGTGTGTCACCTGTTTCTGACTGCCTGCTGGTTCTGTCAACTTCTATGTATAGTAACATGTATAACTTGTATTTACAGTGAAGCAGCCATTGATTGGTCAAGTGTGTCACCTGTTTCTGACTGCCTGCTGGCTCTATTTATAGTAACATATATTCCTTGTGTTTACAGTGAAGCAGCCATTGATTGGTCGAGTGTGTCACCTGTTTCTGACTGCCTGCTGGTTCTATTTATAGTAACATGTATAACTTGTATTTACAGTGAAGCAGCCATTGATTGGTCAAGTGTGTCACCTGTTTCTGACTGCCTGCTGGCTCTATTTATAGTAACATATATTCCTTGTGTTTACAGTGAAGCAGCCATTGATTGGTCGAGTGTGTCACTTGTTTCTGACTGCCTGCTGGCTCTATTTATAGTAACATATATTCCTTGTGTTTACAGTGAAGCAGCCATTGATTGGTCGAGTGTGTCACCTGTTTCTGACTGCCTGCTGGCTCTATTTATAGTAACATATATTCCTTGTGTTTACAGTGAAGCAGCCTTTGATTGGTCGAGTGTGTCACTTGTTTCTGACTGCCTGTTGTATCCTACTCCTGATCCTAACCTTTCCTGTCAGTGGCTGGTTCTGTTTTAGGGTAAGGATCTCAATTTTAGAAAAGAAAAAAAACATATCAATTTATTTATCTGTTTATTTTTACATAAGAGGTATGATCAGGGTAGGAGAAATAAATTTACCTTTTTATATTTGGATAGATATCATTAATTAGGAGTGCTTATCATTTGAGACTGTCTTTGGCATGACCTACTTGCATTCTTTTTACACTGTAAATCTGATTATGAATACAGTGTAATTTCAAAAGTATATATTATCTTACTTTACAGTTATGATATAAACTAAATGCTCTACATGTACGTCATCAGATGAAATAAGATACCAAGTACCGGTTACCTATAATAATTGACATCTAGCTATGCTAACATGGCCAAGTTCTGAAATATAAGCAAGAGTTTTGAAAAATATAAAAATATATAAAAAATATATTGAAACTTTTAAAATTTTGTTTCCAGAAACTTGGACAATATGAGAGGATTGCCATATTCCGTCTAGGACGACTTGTGGAGATTAAAGGTCCTGGTAAGAAATAATACATTTTGTTTTAATTACTGTATATATTTTTTTGATTATACTTTATTTGTTTCCTCTATGGAAAGAACTAGAGACCAAAAAAAACCCACCCAGAAGTAGAAATGAAGAGTGATCGATTTTGAGTAGACAGCTATATGCCTGTATGCACACTAGTCAGTAGTGGTACATTTATCAATCATGGTACCTGTATATTGTCAATTAATTATGTTGTTTCCTTTATCTTCAGATAATGTTGTAACAAATTCATTTTACAGGGATAGTTTTCATTTTACCATGTGTGGATAACTGCAGAAAAGTGGACATGAAGATTAAGGCGTTTAATGTTCCCCCACAACAGGTGAGCAGTGTAGGCCAAGTGCTGAGAGATAGATAGTCTTCATGTCCCCATCATAAAATGGCAAGGGTACCCCTTTCCCTCATTTCATCATAATGTTTTTGAAAGTTTTTGCTGGACTGGGTCTGTAGATCATGTAGATAATGAGCTGATTTTTAGCTCTACTGGCAGAGTAAGGTGTCCGTCATCCGTCTGTCTGTAAACAATTTTTCAAAATGCTACTTCTCCTACAATTTTGGTCCGATTTCAATATAACTTGAAACACAAGTATACTACACTAAGATACATAAATTAGTACATAGGTTTTTTGATTTCAATGAATGGTGTTGCCATGGTTACTAAAAATAGAAAGAATGGGTGGACTTAACTGGCCAGAAAAAATGCCGTAAATTTAAGTTTCATAAAATATTTATTTTTTGCCATCATATACACCCCTGATATCTTAACCGTGTATTCATGGTACAAATGTGAATTTTAAACACTTTTTTCGAGGTAAACTAAATAAATATCGAAGGCATGGTGCCTGGAAATTTCATGAATATCAATAGATAATCAGGGTCAAGCGTTTTTCATCGTCTGAATACATAGTCAGCACATGTTTGTCGGCTGTTCTTAAGAAAACTGTAGTTGTATATTGAACAAAATAATGTTATATTAAAAGGAGAAGAGCCGACAAATGTGTGCTCACACTTAATTTAACAAAAAACATGTTCGAAAGAAATGTCTCACTTCCATTGTTATGTCTTCGATTGACCTGTTTAATATTACAATTCATCACGTGATGTCCACCTGCGAGTGTACTCGTGAAAACAGTTACATTGTATTCTTCAACCTGACCTCGATCTAAATTATGTCTTTGAACGGGTTTTGTTGCCGTTTTCACAATTTAGCAAAATAAATATTGTTTTGATTTTGCGTGTCATCACATTTTTAAAATAATGACATCGCTGTAATATGCTTAACATGTATTCGAATTTCTGGAGAGAGAGAGGGATAGAGAGAGAGATGTCAACAATGACGCCGATCGATAGCCCCGCCTCCTATAAATATTGATTGTGTGACCTAAAAACCACTCCGGGTACATGTCGAATTCCGGAAGACGATACTCATGTATCGTTGCTTCAGTTTTGATACATGACAACATGGCATTGTTTTTGCACAAATGTTCCACCTAATATAACCAAGTATATGTAGCTCTTTCCATTGCTCGTAACATATTTTGGATTCACTTTATTTACAGCTTGGTAGAAGAGTCGCAAAAAGATCCAAAATAGGGCGTTAAGTCCACCCATTCTTTCTGTTAAATTCCTTTAAAATGGTACTCCTCCTACAGTATTGGTCTGATTTCGATATAACTTGGCACACAAGTAGACTACACTAAGATACATAACTCATTGCATCAGTTTTTGATTTCAATTAATGGTATTGCCATGGTTACTAAAAATAGAAATTTCTGTGAAATGCTTTCAAAATGCTATTTCTCCCACTGTTTAATTAAATATGGCACACAAGTTGCCTCAAAAAGAGACTTAATCAAGGGTCATTATTATATTTATTGCTGTTGTACAATTTCAAGTCCAAATGGCTTTTTTTTCTTCCTTTGTTATAAGTACAAACCAGTAGAGCTACAGTCTCGACAGAGACTTCTGGTTTAAAAGGTCAAGTTTGAGTTTCATGTGGATTGACTAATTTTCACAGAAGTTATTGCCCTTTGACTCAGAAAATTTCTAATAAGACACTGCTTAAATTCCAGACTTTGTGTTTTGCTGTGTTTGTAGATATGTATTTATTGAAGTTATCATAACACGTGTATCAATCGGACACGTGTTAATCTAGTGTATATGAAGAGTGTCGGTCTGATTGGTTGAAGTATTTATAGAATACCTGTTCTACAGGTATTCTGTTAAAGCACGCACGCTTTAGCGTTTGTAAGATTTAAATGCCATTCGAAGGCTCTTTCTCAGTGCAGTCAGACGTATCTATTCAGTGTCCCCATGGATTATGAGCGGCATGTTCCTATGTCTGACGAAAAAACATGCAGGAATTCCTTTGTTACTAGAGTCAGAGAAGTCACAGTCCACGTCTAATTCATATGCATTTTTGCTGCTATTTACACCCGGAAACGTAGCGGATTAACTGAAATACGAGGGAAACAAGCCCAGGGACTTATGCTACAAG